AGCCGTGAAACATTCACAATGGGAAATGATTCTGATTCTCGCGCACACCTGAGGCAAGTCCAAGGACCATTCAGAATATATCAGGTGGACATAGTAACTCTCCACTCGGTAGACCATTTGATCCTAAATGTGCCTCATCTGGCTAGAATACTTTTGGCACAATGAACTAAGGCTGGCATGTGGGCTGATTAGGCCCGGGACCGCGAGCCTATATGGGTATTGGGCCTAAACGAGCCTAACCATTTAAGCCTGGGACCTGGGGAAGTGGGCCTGCTAAGTGGGCCGATTCTGTTATGGAGCCCGTTAGGTTCGGAACGTTTGGTCCCGGGACCGGGTGCTAGCAGAATGAACTATGAATCCGCACTCGAAAGGAGTTCGAGATTAAATTATTATGAAGAGGGGCCTCATTGATTGAAAAACCCTTTCACTTTCTTGAAAATTTTTGACGTGTGTGATAGACAGTAAGATAGAATTAGAGCCCAGAAAGTTTCTTTGTGTCTGAAATTGTGGGTTGGCAATAGACACCTAGCGGTTGTTATTTGGGCTGGCAAAGATCTATAGCTAAATAAGGTGAGGTGCTGTTGATACAGATTTAAAAGTGGTGCATGGATCCTTATAAATTAATGCCATAAAATGCAGTATCGTTTATAATCTTTTAATTCTATCCAAATGTTGTGGAGTAGTAAAATTGTTCATTGGCCATTGTAATATTCAAATTCCCCAAGCTTCTACTTTCCAGGCTGGATTCAGTAATGTATGCGTACGCAGAGGCAGGTCTAGAATTTCTAGTATATGGGCGCACTACTAAAAAAAGGAAAAAACATATTAAGTGAGCATTGATTTCTATTCCCTTCGGCAAATAACTCAATTTTAAACTGTAACGACCCGATCGGTCGTTTTTAGAATTCACACACGGATCCCCTATTAACTGCTTCCCCTAAGTTCATTTCTGCTATTTTGGTTTTCCGGGACGTTCGGTGTGGGGTTTCGGAGAGTTTTGGGACACTTAGTCCCTAAATGAGAGCTTAAGTGTTGGAAAGTGGTCCGTAGTCAGAACAGTGTGAAGACGGCCTCAGAATGAAAATCCGATGGTTCCGTTAGCTCCGTTAGGTGATTTCGGGGTTGGGTGCGTGTCCGGAATGTGTTTTGGAGGTCCGTAGCTAATTTAGGCTTGAAATGCCGAAGTTTGAATGTTTGAAGTTTCCGGTCCGATAGAGTTTTTGATCCGAGGGTTGGAATGGAATTCCGAAAGCTGCACTAGCTCCGTCATGTCAATTGGGATGTGTGTGCAAAATTTCAGGTCATTCGGACGTGGTTTGGTTAGGTTTTTGATCGAAAGCGTATTTTGAAGATTTGGAAGTCCATAAGCTTGATTTTTGATTTTGATCTGTCGTTTCGATGTTGTTTTATGTGATTTGAAACTTCGAGCGAGTCCGTGTTAGGTTATATGACTTGTGTGTGTGATTGGACGGGGTCCCGGGAGCCTCGGGTGTGTTTCGGATGCTCAACGGGTCATTTTCCTCCTATTTTGAACTGCTGTTGTTGCTGCTTCTGATATCCTTCTACGCGATCGCGAAGATTCTCCCGCGATCGGGATGCATTGTTGAAGACCACCTCGAAATCCTTCTTCGCATTCGCATCTTTCTCATCGGGTTCGCGAAGCTCAGCTTATTCCTCTTCGCGTTCGCATAGGCTTTCACGCGTTCGCGTACAACAACTTCTGGACCTCAATATTTTCCTTCAACGCGTTCGCGTTCATGCTTCCGCGATCGCGAAGCACTATTTTTCTCTTCTCCGCGTTTGCGTTCTCATCATCGCGTTCGCGATGTACATTTCTGGGCCTTCTCGAATTTCCTCTATGCGATCGCGATCATTGTTCCGCGATCGCGATGAACAAATCGCTGGGCAGACAGAATTAAACCCCAAATTCGAGGGTTTCACCATTTTATCACATTTTGACTTCTAGAGCTCGGCTCTTGGCAATTTTTGAAGGGATTTTTACCTGGGCGACTTGGGTAAGTGCTTCTCACTCGATTTAGACCAATTTCCATGAATCTCCTCTTAATTTCATCCTTTAATTTCAGATTTTGAGTGAAAAATGGGTAAAACTTCATAGACCAAATTGTTGAGTTTTGAGGGGGTGTCTCACCTCCGATTTGGGAGATTTTTATATGGTTAGACTCGTGAGAGTACGAGGGTTCTGAAAATGTAAAAATTATCCGATTCCGAGACGTTGGCCTGAGGGGCATTTTGGTCATTTTGCCTAATTTCGCGCTTTAGCTTTGAATTAAATAGTAGGATCAGTTGCTTGAGATGTTATTTACAATGTGTGATTTAATTGAATAGATTTGGGCCATTTGGAGTCGAGTAGTCGTGGCAAGAACGTGATTGCTAGTTGATTTTAGCCGGTTCGAGGTAAGTATCTTGCCTAACCTTGTGTGGGGGACTTCCCCTTAGGATTTGAGTCTTCTTTGTTGATTGTATTCCTTGTACGCGAGGTGACGAGTGCGTGCTAGGATTTATTTGTGGAAAATTGTCCCTTTTAGGCTTTTAGATCCTTGTAGTCACCGAATATAAAGTTGTTCTTGATACGATTGAGTTCCCTGTTATTAGCTTAACCTTTACATGTCTTACTTGGAATTTATTTTCCCCTTTTTGGCCTATTCTTGTTGCCTAATTGACTTTTACTTGTTTCACTGTAGACATTACCCTTCTATAGTCACATTATCCTTCCTAACTGCTTGTCTTTATTTGGAAAGCATTATTTCTATCTCTCGTGTAATTAATTGGTCTTAATTGGAAAGTAGTTAGATATCCTATATTCAGTTGATACTTCCTTAATTGTAATTATTTGATTCATGTTAACTTCCTTGTTGTTGAACTTAGTATTATGGAATCGTTGTTTCATATTATTTCTCCTTTGTTGAGTTGTTCTTATTGCGCTTAGTATTTCTCTGTTACGGTTATTCCTTGTGAGTTAGTTGTACCGTCTTTTGGTGAACGGAAATACATGAGTTGATTCTCTTGCCTTCTTCCTGTATATATTGTCGATTGTTGTGTTGTACTTGAGACTGTGATGCACGAGGTTTCTGCCGTGCGGTTGTTGATATTGTGATGCACGAGGTTTCTGCCGTGCGGTTGTTGATATTGTGATGCACGAGGTTTCTGCCGTGCAGTTGTTGTTGAAGGGTAGCACGAGGTCTTTGCCGTGCTGTTGTTGTTATTGATGTTTTGCACATGCGGCGTAATAAGGCGGGATATGTCATATACTTATATGTGGGTTGCGCATGTGGCGGAATAAGGTGGGAACATTGTGATGCACGTGTGGCGAAATAAGGCGGTGCTTATTACGTTATTAATCGCACACGTGGCGAAATAAGGTGGGCTATGTCAGGGGATGATTGTAGAGAATTGTGACGGCCTGTGGAGGCATTCCTATTTGTTTAATAATGTGATTGTGGGTTGCTTACCGGTATGAGCTTTATCGCTTGGAAGTTGTGGGGAAACATCGCACGTGCGGTCCGTTCTCCTTTTCATGTTTACTAGCTGGTAGAATTTTTTTAGAAACATTTGTACAAGCATACACGTAGTTGAACACCCCTATTAGAGGTGAATTCCTCGTGATTTTGCTAAGGGTAGAGGTACGCCCTCGTTTATCCATTATTTTTGTGAGAGTGGCCCTAGTTAGCCAGTTAGTTGTCAGTATGACCATGAGATTGATGGGGCATAGGATGCCAATTGTTAGATTTCAGATGCTGGGTCTTTGCGAGTTGTGGTTTGTCCGAGACTTGGTGAAATTGTGGAAAGGGTTGGATAAGACCTTTGTGAACATCATTGTAGGATATGAATTATTGACTTGTTTTCCCCATTGCTGTGTTGTGGCCTAAGATTTGGATTGCGATTCCGCTGTCATTTCCTATCCTCATTTATTATATTCTCGTTGTTACTTGTTGTATTTTACCCTTATTGTGAATTGTAGCATTCTTGGTCATTCATGCAGTCTTTACATATTTATATGTCATTTCCATTATTCCTATGATTATACTGTTTACTGACCGGTAGGTGCCTTGACTGTTCCTCGTCACCACTCCACCGAGGTTAGTCTTGATACTTACTGGGCACCGCCGTGGTGTGCTCATGCTACTCTTCTGCACATTTTTGTTGTGCAGATACAAGTACTTCCACTCATTTCTGTCAGCCTTGGAAGGAGGCGTATCGGTAGAGACTTCGAGGTATATCTGCTACGTCCGCAGACCGAGGAGTCCCTTTCTAGCTTTCTGTAATAAGTATAGCTCTTTCAGTATTTCTCCTTGTATAGATATTCTTGAGTTAGAGCCTCTTATGTATCCCTTAGCTTGTGATTTGTGAGTTTCCGGGTTCTGGGAATTATTTTAGACTTGTGATATTGAGTTGTACTTTCCATGCGGCATTCGGTACAGTTTCCTTTCGATATTTGATTTGATTTTTTCTCTATTTTTCCGCAATTATTATATTTTCGCAAATGTTAGGCTTACCTGGTCGTGGGGACCAGGTGCCGTCATGACATGTTCACGGTTGGTGAACTAGGGTCGTGACATAAACTAAATGCACCATTTAGCCTTCTTGGAATATGGGTACCAACAATTAATATTATACCAAATTTAGAAATAATTAATTTTGCAGAGAGACCATGAGACATCCCTATAAATTCGCCCCTGATCTCACCCTGATCTCAAGAAATCAATAGGTGGATTAACTGCTGTGACCGGAGCTTTTGTGCTTTATCAATTCGTAGAAAGAAAAAAACACACTCTTTTTAAGCTAATCTCGTTTTTGAGACTGGAGCACTACGGAACTTTGCTCGACTGTTTTTGCAACTCCATCTCATCTGTAATTTCTTCCCCTGTCATTGGTTTGATCATAATAAACAAAACTCGTTCCAATAGTATATTCTGCTTATTTGGTGTTGTTGGAAGTTAGAATGAATGATGCTACAAGTGCAATAATAAACAAAACTCGTTCGAATTGTAGGTGAATCTCTCTTTACCCTACCATAATAAACCAGTGCCACAACTCATTAATGTTTAGACGACTAGATCATACCTAAGAGCTATCTGATACTTCTATAACTAATATAATAAGAAGGTCACATCAAAGTTAACCAATTTAATTACACAGTTGAATACCAAAATTATGGTTCAAGTGCCTCTTTTCATGCATCTTTGGTCACTTAATCTTCATTCACCTTTCAAACCAGCCATCTTACTGCACACCTTCACAGAAACAAAACCAAGGAAAAATTAGCTATCAAGAACAAGTCCACAGATCTTTGCACCTACAGTTATCATTTCCAGGTTGATTTCTTTCTACTACTATCTATCATAGAATCGACGCCCGCCCAAAACTCAACTTTGTATTAGCTATGAGTATGCAAGACAACAATATATTTTTCATTTTTATCTATCAATATGCGGACGAAGTAATTTAGTCTGAATTTAATACATCAACGAGATACTTCTACTCTAGGCACTTCATGCAACCAAACGAAAAAGGGAAAACGGAATCAGAAATACTCGCTGTTGATATCATATTTAATCATGTTTTTTTTTTTTTTGCCAGACAAGAAAGTTCAGCAACAGCATCTTCTTGTTGTATATCATGTCTCTTCTGTCAGAATATATCATGTCTCAAGATCAAGATGTTCAGCAATAGTAACAACAACAACAAAAAACCCAGTGTATTCCCACAAGTAAGGCCTTGGGAGAGTAGTGTGCACGTAGACCTTACCCCTATCTCTAAAAAGGTAGAGAAGCTATTTCCGGTAGACTCTCGGTTCAGGAAAGATAAAAGGGAAGGGGCAATGGCAAGCAAACCAATCATAAAACCTTGTACTTGTAAGCCAGCAAGGAAAATCAGTATCACTCACACAAACCATCTCATGATATTGCGAGAGGATTCACAAATAGAGCAAAGATGCATAGAGACTACTTTTGTTAAATTCTTCAATAGCATGGTTAGCTAGTTCCGTTAGCATGTCAACCTCTGTCTCGAAATCCAGATATGGTAGATATATAGCTGCCTTAGCATTACCGGGGTATACGTCAATGTCAAAACCCTGTCAAACAAGAGAAACAATTAACTGCCATTGACTTCTATCCAAGTTGTAAGAAAAAGAGAGGTAATAATTGAACAGTTCGAATATATAAAGAGAGTTGAAGGAGGCCTTGGAGCAATAGTTTCTGTGTGACCTATAGATTCACGGGTTTGAGCCGTAAAATTAATTAAGTGGCACCCTTTTAATGCTTAGCCCCACCAAATTAAGCCCTATAAACTTGGGGTGGGGGGTTGATTTTTAGCACTACTCTCCCTAAGAACAGATAGTAAACTTGATCTTAGCCGATCGAGAGGGCGAGAACGACATAAAGTTCACATGATAAAAATAACAGTAACCCAGCAAATAACAAGCACGTTGAGAACAGAGAAATAAGTGAGAAAAATAGGAGCAAGAAAGAATATCACTATGTGATCACAACAGATAATGAAAAAGAAGAGGGACAAACATCGTCTTGGACAATCTGACGGAAGTATCTGGAGTAAATTTTGCGAAATTCTTCACGGTACTGTATATTACCGCCTTGAGGTATAAATCGTCATCGTTCCAAAGAAACTCATCAGCCAAGTATTTCTGTGGCAGTTCTACTCCATATTTTGGGTTATTCTCCGGCGCCATATTTTCTTAACATGTTTCCCCCTTTATACTACTAGAAAAATAACGAAACCCACCTTTTCTAGTATCCCAATTAATTTGGATTCACAATAAGTAGGCCCAATTAATTTAGAGATTTGATATAAAATCTAAATTTAATTTTTAATATTTTTCTATACTATGTGTATGGAGTATATTTATAAAATTCTGGCTCTTTTTTATTCTAAATTGTTTAAATAAAGTTTTATTATTTTTATTGCTATTAATAAAATTACTGAACCGAACAAATTATTTTTATTGTTAATTTTTTATCCTAACGTTAATTAAGATCAAACATTAATATCTTCTATTTCAATGTAAATTCGATGCTATCATTACTTGTTAGTAAGGAACTACTCATACACGCTAAAGTACAACAACAACAACAACAACGACAACAACAACAACAACCCAGTAAAATCCCACAAGTAGAAAAATACATGGAAATTTTTTTTTTTTATAGAATAATTGGAATGTCCAATTCAAACTTTCAAAGATCTTTCTTGCTTTTTCACCTTTTTAAAGCAAGAGTTAAGATTTTCCAATTCTATGAAAGCTCGCACTCAATTATGACGAACTACTCATCTATTTTTGCTACAATAGAATAAATAACATTTCTAGAATACAATTCAATGCCCTAAATATTACTACCTCTAAATTTTAGAATGGTTTTAACACTCAATGCAAAGCCTTTTTTAAAAAAAAAATTAACATTTATTTTATAGTCCTAAATATTTGGACTTCTTATATAATTCAAATAAGGAAAGATTTAATAACCAAAATTATAAAATTTTAGAATTCTGAATGTAAGAAAAATAATAAAATTACTATTCTGTCCAATCCATTAATAATTTTTTAAATTTACTTGTTGTAAGGTAGATTGTGAATATCCTTTGAAGTACTCACGCAAAATAGTACTATATTATAATTCTATCACAATAAAATAAGAATTCCTAAACCTAAAAAGGACTATGTGCACGAGACTTTATTTGTAGTTTTAAATTTATTCTCTTTCAATATTTTACTAAAATTATAAATAATTAATTGATTATAATTCTATACATACAAAGACTCCTAAATTGTAGCGACCCATTTTTCTCAATAGGTCATGAGGGCGCCTGACACCTGATAATAGGTAAATTTGACTATAATCACGCACCAAATAATCACCTTCTTGTGAACTTTTAATGTGAAAAAATGACAACAAAATGCTCTTATTAGTGCTTTTCATGATTTGCAGGTGATATAGGTGTAAGGAAGGCTAAGGAGCGGTTTTGGAGTCAACTATTGATGAAAAAAAGGCCAATTGTTGAATTTCCCAAGTATCCCATTCAAAACAGGCCAAAATTTCCGGGTACAAGTTCCACCGCGGTTCTACCGCAATCGCGGTGAAACCGCGTGGAAGACAGTTTCTGAAAGTTGAAGATTCCGCGAGGGCGTTTGGCCGCGGTTCTACCGCGACCGCGGTAGAACCGCGGTGGGCACAGTAAACTTCAGGGACTTAAGTGTAAAACACGGGATTTTTAGACCTAAACCCTATTTAAAACACTAGACTTCGCCCAAGAGAGGCATGTATTGATTTTTTAGGTTTCTTAGCAAGGAATACAATTGGGAGCAAGTACTCTAAACATCTTTCTTCCTTTCTTTTGATTTTTATGATGAATTCAAGTGTAGTTTATTCTCCCATATCTATGAGTAGCTAAATTCCTTGTCTAAGGCTTTGATGGAACCTATTGGGTGATGAACTTCTTGTTTATGTGAATACAAATTGCTAGTTTAATCTTTATTTGTTCAACTTCGTGTTCGTTGTAGTTAATTGACAGGATCCTCAATTAGCTGTACCTATTTAGTGTGCATAACTTGGAAAAGAGTGCATATTTAGGGTATTGTTGAACAACACCACTCCTAGATTATTAGAGGAATCTATAATTGCGGGTTTAAAGGCGGGATTAGGAATAACGAAGTCTTGGGTGCAATCTAAATTGAATTGTGCTAAATAAAGCAAGCTAGTGTATCTCGGGAGAGTGCAATAGTAGATTACTGTGATTACTCGGGAGAGATTTGCGGTAAGATTAGCGTTCATGATTGATAGAGATGTGTGGGTAAATTTGTATGAGCATAAACAGAAGGGATTCCATCAATAGGGGAAATCATTGCCTTAGCTTTTTCTCATAATTGTTTACAACCTTATTAATTTAGTTACAGCCATTTAGTTACTTGCAAGCTAGTTGTTAAAGAACACTCAACTGAGAATTTGAATGTTTGAGAAGCTGGTGCTGAATACTTGGTGGGTTTGAAGATAGCGGTTGATAGGTTAACTCTCTGTGGATTCGACCCTGGGCGTAATACTCGGGTTATATTTGCAACGTCCGCAGAGTCCTTTTTATAAGGCATAGTTGGGCGTGATCAAATTTTGGCGCCGTTGCCGGGGAGTTAACGGAATTATCAATTGCCATTGACAGAAATACAAAGATTCTTATTGTAGTCAGTTTTCTCTCTACCAACTTTTTCATTGAAAATTTTGACGGTTGTTGATCTGGGTACACAGGTGCATGCCTAGAAATTCTACGAGGACTGGAGAACTACTTGAAGGACTCTCAGACCCCGAGAAGACATTCCGGGCATTGAATCGTGCAAACAAAAGACTTCAACAATCACAACAAACACACCAACTCGAAATTGACATGGGCGACATAAACGACCCCAACGGGAACGTCAGGAATGAGCAATTGGCACCTCCTGTGCCTGAGGGTGCACTTTATGACTGGGCACAACCCACAGCTGACAATCTGGCCACTGCCATTATTGTGCCTGCGATACAAGCTGAATCGTTCCAGATCACAAATAACATGCTACACTTGTTGCAGAACAAGGGACTTTTTTCTGGGACACAAACAGAAGACCCTCAGCAACACTTAAAGAACTTCCTGTCTATTTGCAAAACTCAAAGGCAACCGAACGTGACTCCGGAAGCAATCAGATTATTATTGTTTCCATTCTCGGTGACAGGAGCTGCTCAGGTTTGGCTAAACTCGCTTCCCATAAACTCTATAGCAACTTGGGATGAGTTGGTCAAGCAATTTCACAACAAGTTCCATCCTCCCAACAAGACCGCTCAACAAATTGATGAGATTGTGAGCTTCAAACAGAAACCAATGGAGACACTACACGAGACATGGGGCAGGTTTAAAGGAATGTTGGTTATGTGTCCCCACCATGGTGTTCCAGAGCAGATGTTGGGACAACGGTTTTACATGGGATTGTCAGACAGCTTGAAGAATATAGTTGATGCCTCGGCTGGTGGGGCATTCTTGAGCAAGACTTGGAGAGAAGGTCAGAATTTGCTCGACAAGATGGCGCAGAATTCGGGTTGGACTTCTAGAAATGCACCTATCACTCCAGTGGTGCACTCAGTGCCTCTTGATCCTTCTAATACAATGGCTGAAAACATGGCGACTCTTTTGACGCAAATGAGCATCCTCACCAAAAAGGTGGAGGAATCAGGGCAGAAGCAACAGGTTCACATAGTAGACACTACCAACGGGGGCTTGTGCACATCTTGCATTAGCCAGCCAATTGGTAATCCATGGAATACAGAGCATGATCATCATCACCAGCACCCTGAAGATATGAACTATGTGGCTAACTATGGGGGTCAGAGGCAAGGTAATCAGAACTGGGGTCAGCAGACTCAGCAGCAGTACAGGCCACCGCAGCCACAGTATAACGCCGGAAACATGGGAGGCATGAGACCCCCCAACAACATGGCACCGTATCCTAGACCACAAGGGTACAACAATCAGCAGCAAGGGTACCACCCACCTCAGCAACAGCAGGGTGGAAGACAGGAAGACGGGTTTGCAAGGCTTGAAGCAATGATGCAGCAGGTTATTGGGTCCAATGCTAAAATAAATGAAAGGGTGGATGCACATGATGCAGCTATCAAGAATATTGAGGTACAAGTGGGCCAGATTTCAATGTCACTTAACAATCGTCCTCAAGGGACATTACCTGCAGATACCCAAATCAATCCAAAAGATCAAGGCCCAAAGCAGCTGATGGCGGTGAGTCTACGAAATGGTAGGGATCTAGATGTTGAGCAAGAGAGAGCTCGAGAAAACATACAGGCTGAGACACTAATTCCAGTGCCCATTGAGCTGGATGACTCTACGGGATTGACAGAGGTAACAGTTCAGCCTGCTCCTGAAGAAACGAATATGCAGCACGAGACTGAGACAGTAGTTGAGCCAGTAATTGAGACAGCAGCGGAACCAATAGTTGAGACAGTAGCTGAGAAGGAGAAACCTCACGTGATTGGGAAGAAAAGACCTCCTGCACCATTCCCGCAAAGGTTGGCCAAGCATCAAAAGGAGGAGCAGTACAAAAAGTTCCTAGAGATGCTCAAACAAATCCAGATAAACATTCCACTGATTGAAGCTCTAAAGGAGATGCCAGGATATGCTAAAATGATGAAGGACTTAATGTCTCGGAAGTTTGACTTTCAAGACTTGTCGACTGTGACCCTTACTCAGACATGTAGTGCAGTGGTATCTAGACCTGTTGCTGAAAAGCTATCTGATCCAGGTAGTTTTACAATTCCATGCACCATTGGGAACTATGCCTTTGCTAAGGCACTCTGTGATTTAGGGGCCAGCATTAATCTCATGCCCCTGGTCATTTATAAGAGGTTAGGCATTGGGAGAGCTCGACCTACTTCTATGTTATTGCAGCTGGCTGACAGGACTGTTAAGCGTCCATTTGGGATTCTTGATGATGTGCTTATTCAGGTGGGGAAATTCGTGTTCCCTGCAGATTTTGTAATCTTGGATTGCAAAGTGGATGAAGAAATTCCTATAATTCTAGGACGACCCTTCTTGGCCACGGGGAGAGCTTTGATTGATTGCGAGACTGGGGAGCTTAAGATGAGGCTCAATGATGAGGAAATTATATTCAATGTGCAGAAATCGATGAGGCG